ACTACTAATAACTACTAATAACTAATAGTTAAGTTAGTTAGTTATTGGTTATTAGTTAACTAACATCTGTGGGGACCCATTAATCAGTTTATTCATTATATTTAATGTAAGTGAAGAGAGAATCGACCTTACTGTCTGATTATATCTGTCTTTAATGTTCACTGAAGGTCCTGGATGAGCTTTATACTCATATAGGACTTTATTTAATGTTATATAATGTTATATAATGTTAAATAAAGTGTGGTTCTACAGATGAATACTGATTATAGGTCACAGAGAGGTCACAGTGGCCTGCAGTGTCTCATGGCGGGTTGCCTTCAGGGACAGATTATTGATCCATTATTGATATATTAATATAATAATAATATATAATATAATGTCTCTGCAGGACATTAAAGGTTAGAGTAAAGTCAGTGTATTTAAATAAAGCCTGCTTTATGTCGAGGTGAGTTATTCACCTTTAGCTCAGTAAAGAAGAAAATCCACTTTATTAATATAGTGAGGGATTATTGATTACCGTTGATGATAATAGATAATGAAGGTTTTTGATGTCTTTGACTAGATTAAAATAAATAAATCTTTAAGGAGATATATGAATGTTATTAAATGATCCGTGTTTGCTCTCTACGTCTTAGTTCTTCCTCTGAGGTTTGCATAAACTACAGGTTATCTTCTTATTGAAATACAAATATCTGAATGATCGGTGATCTTATTGATTGAAACAGAAACATACAGTGTACCTCTAATATATGAAAATGACTGTGGAGCATTAGGAGATGGACGCAGATACATCGTGTCTTTAAAAGTATAAAACCCCAAAATCTGAATTTTAGCCCTCAAAGTTTAGACAGTTTTAAAAATTTGATTGTATAAAAGAACAAAATTCTCACTTTTAAATGTTTTTGGGGAAATATTCCTGTATTGATCAACTACAGAACAAAGACACAGAGGTCTTTTTCATATCTGTTGTAGTTTTATTTGCCAAATGTGAACGTTAAAGGTCTTTAATCTAACCTGTTGAATGGTACAGAAACCCTGAGATAAAATACATATATATTAATATTAGTATTATTATAGGTAACACTTGTACCTCAGGTTCAAGCCTTCATTCACAGTGACTGCAGTTACAGGTAACATCAGGTTATAATGTCGACACTTTGAGAGATTTCTACATTTAATATTAAATAAGTACAGTGTTGAAATGAAGCAGACACAGATGGATGTTCTTTATAACCTCTGCAGTCTGTAGAATATAACTACAGTGAGAACCTCTGATCAGTTTAAAGTGAAGCTGACGAGTCATTGTCAGTGTGTTGGTGTGATGTTATTAAGTGCTGAGGCTTTCTCTCCCTCAGTGATCCATCATGTCTCTGCCGAAGCCCATGATGAGAGGTATGCTGGCGAAGCGTCTGCGGTTTCACCTGCCCATCGCCTTCGGCCTGTCCTTCCTGACTGCCATAGTGTTCAAGGTGAGAGCGCCGTGACGCTGTTCGGATCAATAATGTCTCCTGATGGACACGGTGAGGAGACAACAACTTATAATTCAGCAGACAAGTTCCAGCCTCAGAGAATCATTTTAGCTTCTTCAGTTGACGATATTAAATGTTCCTGTGGACAATAATGTGTTTCTTTGACTCATTACAGACGTGTTGTTCAACTCTGGGAACATTACAGCTACAGTTTCATCTCGGACAGTAAAAATATATAAAGATGTTTCTAATGTTTGTCCATCTGCGTAAATGAGGAGACACAATATTATGAACACAAATGACACAAATACAACACAACAATTGACGCACACACACACACTCAGCATTAACTGTGTAGAGTTGAACAAAGATCGGTGATTTGGCTAAAGTTCAACTTTCTGTCTCCGTTTAGAAACGTCCTGTAGATTACAGACGGACTTTAAATCAGGGATTAAAACCTGAGTTTATTTTGAAGTTGTTAACAGAATCATAAAATCACTCACAACCCGTCAGAGAGAAATATCCGTCTGTTTGGCTGCGTCACTGTATTGGTTTGTTGTTCTCTTCTGTTATTGACATGCACTGAATATAATCTCAAACATCCATAGATTATGGGAACCACAGCCTTAGACCAGATCTAACATCAGACCCCTCAGACTGAAACCCTCTTCTGTTCGGGAACATTAAAACATGTTAACTTAAGTTCTACTTTTTTCTCTATCATGAGATGAAATGTTGTATGTTGTAGTTGTTTTCTTAGGTTGTATTTGTGATCTTTTGCCTGCAGTACACGGTGACGGAGCCCAGGAAACAGGCCTACGCTGACTTCTACAAGCAGTACGACGCCGTCAAAGATTTCAACGCCATGAGGGAAGCCGGCGTGTTTGAGAGCGTGCGGCCTTCTGGAGAGTAAACCCACTGTGAGTCTGTTAAACTGAGACGGAAACAGTAACTCATTAAACATTAACTCATTGTTTCTCATTGTTGTCTTTGTGGTTTCTTCCTCCAGCTCTTCCTCCCTGACGCTCATTCCTGCTCTGAGGATGAAGTTCCTTCCTGCTCCTTGATGTTATTTACTGGTTAGATGTGAACATCGCTATGCTGTTGTGTTCCTCTAAATAAAAGATTCTACTAATGTAAGAGCTGCTGTGTCTTTCTTGTAATTAATAAACTGGTTTTAATCCATTATATACTATATATATTACATTATATGCTACAGGGTCTATTAACTGATTATTTACCTTTAATGTTTTATATTTAAAGAGTTAAAACATTTTGTGGTTTGGAGAGGAGGAACGTACAGGCTGTGTTCTGTGATGTTGTGTGTCCTTATTTCATACAGTTTATTAATATTAAACAGTAGATACTGATTAAGTATGTTCTTTTTCCCAGTTAGTACTCAGATAAAGTTATATATAAGTCATATTTATCTTAACATACACTAATATATGTCTGATATAAAATACTGTGGGCATCAACAAGGAGCTATCCCAACAATAAAGTTTACCAGAAATATTTCTCTATTCATGGTTCAAAGCTTTTGGTGTCACAGTTTTAAGAGTAAAGATTTAAAAACTCCCTTCATCCTCCTGCAGGTGTTATAAGTGTTTTATGGGACTGGGACGCAGCACTGGATAGTTGATATATACAATAAATAAATGACACAATAAGCATCAATGGATGTCACACAAACTGTAACTTTAGAAAACCACAACCAGTTACACTTTTAGTGTTGTAATAAATGTCTGGAGCCTCTACTGAATCATTTCTGCCAGTAAAATTAAACAAGATGAAAATGGAGATTTATGTAAAGTCAAAATTATGATATAAGTCATAAAGTGATTAAAAAAAGTCACAATTATGATCA